TTTGATTGATAACACCTTGTTTAACTATCCTTCTTTTTAGCTGTACTGTGCTAAAGAACCAACCCTGCTGAATCTAGGGTAGAGCTTGTTAACAATCACTGTCTTAATTTGTTTCCAAATATACATGTGTGTGTGTCTGTTTAGTGATTGGTTGGAATTAACAATTATTATGTAATGAATGTGTCTAGGCTCTGGACAAGATCCGTTTTGAAAGTTTGACCGACAAGAGCAAATTAGATGCTCAACCTGAGCTCTTCATCCACATTGTCCCTGACAAAACCAACAATTCACTGTCCATTATTGACAGTGGTGTTGGTATGACAAAGGCTGGTAAGTGAATGTGCCAAATTTTGTGTTTTATTCTGCTTATTATTTTCTCATGCTGATTGTCTATTTTTTTTTTTTTTTTTTTTTTTTTTTTTTTTTTTTTTTTTTTTTTTAAGACCTGGTGAACAATCTTGGTACAATTGCAAGGTCTGGGACCAAAGAATTCATGGAAGCTCTTACGGCTGGTGCTGATGTTAGCATGATTGGACAGTTTGGAGTTGGGTTCTACTCAGCTTACTTGGTTGCTGAGAAGGTCATTGTAACAACAAAGCACAATGATGATGAACAGTATGTCTGGGAGTCCCAAGCTGGTGGTTCATTCACTGTTACCAGAGATACTTCTGGTGAGAATCTGGGCAGGGGAACAAAAATTACCCTTTTCCTCAAGGAAGACCAGCTTGAATATCTTGAGGAGCGCCGGCTCAAGGATTTAATAAAGAAGCACTCTGAGTTCATCAGCTATCCTATCTCTCTGTGGACTGAGAAAACCATTGAGAAAGAGATTTCTGACGATGAGGATGAAGAGGAGAAAAAAGATGAGGAAGGGAAAGTAGAAGAGGTTGATGAAGAGAAGGAGAAGGATGAGAAGAAAAAGAAAACAATCAAGGAAGTTTCTCATGAGTGGTCATTGGTTAACAAGCAAAAGCCCATCTGGATGAGGAAGCCAGAGGAGATCACAAAGGAAGAATATGCTGCATTCTACAAGAGTCTCACCAATGATTGGGAGGAGCACTTGGCTGTTAAACACTTCTCAGTTGAAGGTCAGCTGGAATTCAAGGCCGTCCTCTTTGTTCCAAAGAGGGCACCTTTTGACCTCTTTGACACAAAGAAAAAGCCTAATAACATCAAGCTCTATGTTCGACGTGTTTTCATCATGGACAACTGTGAAGAGTTGATTCCAGAATATTTGAGCTTTGTGAAAGGTATTGTTGACTCTGAGGATCTTCCTCTCAACATCTCACGAGAGATGTTGCAGCAAAACAAGATCCTTAAGGTCATTCGCAAGAACTTGGTTAAGAAGTGCATTGAGCTCTTCTTTGAGATTGCAGAGAACAAGGATGATTATAACAAGTTTTACGAGGCTTTCTCCAAGAATTTGAAGCTTGGTATCCATGAAGATTCTCAGAACAGAACTAAGATTGCTGAATTGTTGCGATACCATTCTACCAAGAGCGGTGATGAATTGACCAGCTTGAAGGACTACGTGACAAGGATGAAAGAGGGGCAGAATGACATCTTTTACATCACTGGTGAGAGTAAGAAGGCTGTGGAGAACTCTCCTTTCTTGGAAAAGCTGAAGAAGAAGGGGTATGAGGTCATTTACATGGTTGATGCCATTGATGAGTATGCTATTGGGCAGTTGAAGGAGTTTGATGGAAAGAAGCTTGTATCTGCAACCAAGGAAGGCTTGAAGCTTGATGAGAGTGAGGATGAGAAGAAGAAAAAGGAGGAACTGAAGGCCAAGTTTGAGGGTCTGTGCACAGTGATGAAGGATGTACTTGGTGACAGGGTTGAGAAGGTGATTGTTTCTGACCGTGTTGTGGACTCTCCCTGCTGTTTGGTTACCGGAGAATATGGATGGACAGCTAACATGGAGAGAATTATGAAGGCACAAGCTCTTAGGGACTCTAGCATGGCAGGGTACATGTCTTCCAAGAAGACCATGGAGATCAACCCAGAGAACCCCATCATGGAGGAGCTGTGTAAAAGAGCCGATGCTGACAAGAATGACAAATCTGTGAAGGATCTTGTGTTGTTGTTGTTTGAGACTGCTCTGCTCACTTCGGGTTTCAGCCTCGATGATCCCAATACATTTGGCAACAGGATTCACAGGATGTTGAAACTTGGGCTTAGCATTGATGAGGATGCTGGTGATGCCGCAGATGTTGAAATGCCAGCATTGGAGGACGATGCTGAGGGCAGCAAGATGGAGGAAGTAGATTAAATGTTCGGATGGCAGGAAGAAGTAGATGAAAGTGTTTAGATTGAAGGTTTTTTTTACTTATGAACTCTTGTGATACAGTGTTTTTTTGGATGATCTATCATCGTTGTTTAACTATAGATTGAAGCTTTAGTCAATTCCAGAATTATTCTTTGGAAAATTTCTACATTGTCGTGCAATTTCATCTTTGTTTAACTTATTGAAGTTTTAGACAATTCCAGAACTATTCTTTGGAAAATTTCCACATTGCCGTGCAATTTCTTTTACTATTAGAAAAAGGGTCAAATTGGCCATAAGTAAAAAAAGAGAGCTCTATATTCAAATTTCTTAAATTGATAAAATTGTTTAATTGAGTCAATATTAATCTATTCAGATTTTTGAAACTGATAAAATTGTGTTCTTTGTCAAATATTAATTCGACGGTGAAAGATTAACAGCAGAAATTAAGCCAATTCATTTTATGCTTAAGAGTACAACAATAATAAACTGAACTAGTTTCCCATGAATGCAGAATTTAAACTTTAGAAAAACTAAAAACCATAACGGAATTCCAGGTTATCATTAAGTTAAAGAAGCAAGCTTAATTTTTGAACAAGAAAATTAAAGAAGTAGAAAACTTAAGAAAGCTTAAAGCAGATATAATTAGTGAAGTAGAAAGGAACATACAGAGCCAAGTGCCGCCATTCGGGTAGAGCAGGGGCAGGCAGAGGATTTGGTGCGACATATACGAAGGATGAAATTGCTTGCAGAGCTACGGAGAGCGAAAACGTTAGAAGACAAGAAAACAAGCGTTTGGAGGAAGGCTTAGTATGACCCACCCGCTTGCCGGAAATGGTGGGATATGGGAATTCCGGGCAATGATGTGCAAGTGAAATAAAGAAATGCTCCGGTGTAGATCTCCGACCGGAAAAACTCACGACCTTTAAAAACAAATTTATAAATAAGTAAAAAGTTTTATAAAACAAAAATAAAAAATATTTAAAAAAGATATATGTTAAACTTGTGAAAAATTTAAAAGTGTAAACAAAAATGGTTTACACTGTCTTAAATACTCTGTCGGGTCAGAGGTGTGGAGGCTATGAATTTAGCGATTCAACGTTTTGAGAGAAGAAATCTAGTTCATTAAATGTCTCCTAATTTTCACTATATGTTGTCCCTAACTCCACTAAACCCCCCCACAGTTTTCATTAAAATTTTTAACTGTTTCTACTGTTGTATACCCAATTCTTTCATTTTATCCGTAAGTGTGATCAATCCCATTCATCTACTTCCATACACAAACAAACGATGCTTAAACACTGACAACTTTATTTATTTATTTATTTATTTACTTTTTTACTTTTCTAATTCATTTTTAGCATTTTTAATAAAGTAAAACACATAAATCCAAGATATACATCAAACACAAAAAAAAAAAAAAAAAAAAAAAAAGTACAGATAAATCATGTTGTCATTTGAAACTAAGAATACGGTATCTTTATTGGTGTAAAAATTTAGGATCACAACTGTTAAAACCGTAATACTTAGAGGGTCATTGAAGGTATTAACTCTAAATTTTATTTATATGAAAATAATTTTAAAAATAATGTCTAGATATAAGTGATGAATTAGCGTCAATATTGTTATAATTCGCAGTTGACATTTGTTTGGTTTGTTATTAATGACATGAAATATATAGAAAACACAATGTAACCACAATATCGGAAGACACTAATTTATACTAATGATACAATAATTTTATCCATGCCAGATCAATAGTAGCCAGTTATTTGAGTGGCTTTCATGCGCATCTATCTAATTGCATCAAAAATCATATTTTTCAACATAGTCTTTTAATGGCATTTTTTAAGTTGCTTGACATTAGGGCATCTTCAATAGTGAAGTTTTTGGGGTGATTTTTGAGGTTACAAGTAGGAGAGAGATGAGGGAAAGAGAAGAAGGGAAAAAAAGGAGGGAAAACAGGGATCTGACGCAAGGAAAAAAAAAAGGCAATACCATGCTAGCAGGCGTCGTTGTGCACGTTCCCTTCCTCTTTCTCTATGTCGCGGGACCTACAAAAAACCCACCCTTTGCAGGAGGATCTCAAATTTTCTCAATCCTCCTATTCTCTCCTCCACATCAGCTATGCTATTCTCAAAACTGTGCAAAATGCACTACTGGGGATGCTCTTTGAAAGTTAGCATGTTGCAAAGACCGAGTCAACTTGAGTAAATGCATAAGATTTTGACTTTAAATCACATTTGTCAACATAATAATCTTTTAATGACACTTTCTAAGGTGTTTGACCTTAGTTAATTAACATGTTACACATGTTGAATCATCTCGACTAAAATGTCATTTTCTCTAAACATTACAAATGTGACAACTTATAGACCTTTCTTCCCTGTAGGTATTGCATACTAGTATTTACTATGGTGCATAGAAGCCAATGGCAGATTGCCAAATTGGTGACTAACTTAGACTTTTGTGTTTAGGCCAATAACAATAATTCCTTCTTCTTCTTCTTCTTCTTCTTTTTTTTTTTTTTTTTTTTTTTTTTTTTTTTTGGAGAAAACAATAATTCTTCACATCTTCACTATACATAATATGTAATTTAAAATAATTTGTTTGGAAAAAGTTCTTAAAAGTTAGCACAAAAATACTAGAGGCATATATTCAAAACCAAATATATATGTATTGCATTAAAATGAAATACCAAATGAGTTATTATAAATATAAAGTTAATGACATATTAAGATTATTTTTCAAACAACTATTGCTACAATAAAGTGTATAAAGTGGACAATATATATAATGTATCATCATTACATATCTCTACCGACCTTCTAATGAAAAAGTGAGCTGATTAGAACATGGTTTATCCGGTGGCACACTAGAAGAGTCATTGCAAGTTTGTGTTCTTGTAACAAAAGCAGGTTTGTTTGGTCTAGGTAAAGTCATACTTTCATCCATCAACATTGAAAATACATTAGGCATAGTGGGACGACATTTTGGATCTTCTTCAATGCATAGCAACCCAACATTTATACACCTCAAAACTTCATGTTCCTTGCAACATTTGTGTAGCGAGTCATCTACTAAATCCATTATGTTCCCTTCATTCCATAGCTTCCATGCCTGAGATAATTGATTCAAGAAGAAGAGTAAATCAAGCCAAACATATATAGCCAAATTAAAACACTAACTTATTAAGATTTGTGAGGTTTCATAACTTACATAGCCTAAAAGGTTTGAAATTTCTTCATTTTGAAAGAATGCCCTGTTATTCTTTCCACTAATAACCTCAAGTATAATTACTCCAAAGCTAAATACATCAGATTTGATTGAGAAGAGTCCACTCAGTGCATATTCAGGAGACATATAACCACTTTTTATCGTCATAATACGCAATCCAAAGATCATGCATGAATTATACAAAATCAAAAGCACAATAAGTAAATCACTAAAAAAAAAAAAAAAACAACGAATAATTATGAAATGTTAAAATTTACTCAAAAATTGAAATTAAGATTATTATGATACTTACTATGTGCCAGCGACTTTTTTCGTATTTGCTTCTAATGCATTTCCAATTACCATTCTTGCTAATCCAAAATCTGAAATCTTAGGTGTCATATCTTCATCTAATAAAACGTTACTTGTTTTCATGTCCCTATGGATGATTCTCAATCTTGAATCTTGGTGGAGATATAAAAGTCCTCGAGCAATTCCCAATATAATATCAAACCTTTTGCTCCAGTCCAACAACAGTCGACGTGTTTGATCTTGAAAAGTAATTAGTTTTAAAAAAAATTGTGAAAACAACTAGTTAATAAAGTAACAATTGATCGAACTTATTAATTTTTATATAGTTTATTATCAATGGAATAACAAAAGATCTAGGCTTACCAAATATGAAGGTGTCTAAACTCTTGTTTGACATATATTCATATAGTAATATCTTTTCTCCCAGTTGTGAGCAGTAGCCAACAAGTTTAACCAGATTTCTATGTTGAAGCTTTGCAATTAGTACAACTTCATTCTTAAATTCATTGATACCTTGTCTAGATTGATTTGATAATCTTTTTACTGCAATTTCTTGCCCTTCCGGAAGCGTACCCTACAAGACCATTTTCATTATTAGATATTAGATATTATATAAAAGCAAAAGCAACCTAAAATGTATTGCTTAGGCTATTCTTATCCTTGCAAATTTCTCACTTTTTAAAATAAGCCTACTGTTACATCATCAAATTTGTAAATTCTCCACTATTTATTCTACATCCCTGCAAAACTCTCTCACTTTCAAAAATATGTTCCAGTTTCATATTATATTAAATTATAAATATAATAAAAAATAATAATAAAAATAATAATAATAATTTAAAAATAAAAAAGTACTGCTAGCGGTAGATTAGGGCATCTTTAATAGTGGAGTTTTTTGTGTGATTTTTGAGGAGTTTTTGTAAGTGTGATTAGGAAAGAGAAATTATAGGAAATTGAAAAAAAATAAATAAATAAAACAAATGTTGATTTTCAAAATAAAAAATAAAAAAATTAAACACTGTCATTAAGCACGAGCGCGTGCACTGCATGCGCCTGCTGGGCGCCATTTTGGCCTTCACACGAGCCGCGCAGGAGTAGCCTTAAAATCAATGGGTCTCACTTTTTCTGAAAAAACTCCAAACTAGCATGAAACACTTGAACCTTCTCTCTCTTCATTATCTTTCCTCCATGTTGGCATTCATTTTAAAAAAATCGTGAACAAACCCCTTAATGGGGATGTTAGCAAATTTGCTAAGTTTGTCACTTTACAATCCACGTGTACTTAAAACCAAAAGAGTTAAAACCCAAAATGGTCCCCCGACTATGACATTTTTTTCAAATTGGTCCCTTGACTTTTAATTTCTCCAAAGTCGTACTCTGACTTTTGAATTTTAAGCCAAAATGGTCCTCCATTATCTTTGGCGTTAAGTTGTTAAAATAAAGGGTAAAACTTGAAATTTACGTTTTGCACTCCAATTTAAAGCAATATGTGATTCCTTTTAGCTATCTGCACACATATTTCTTCAAATTAGGTTACATTTTTGCTCTCCTAAATCTGCAATCAAAATGTGGGATAATCAACTAGAACGCCAAAAAAGTTCATCTTCAACTTCATCCACAAACTTCCCAAGGCAATGATTTCTGGCATTTTAGTTTATTGTCCCACATTTTGATTGCAGATTTAGGAGAGCAAAAACCTAATTTGAAGAAATATGTGCACAGATTGCTAAAAGGAATCACAGATTGCTTTAAATTGGAGTGCAAAACCTAAATTTCTAGTTTTACCCTTCATTTTAACACCAAAGCTAACTGAAGACCATTTTGGCTTAAAAGTCAAAAATCGAAGGACCACTTTGTAAAAATTAAAAATCAAGGGACCAATTTGAGAAAATGTCATAGTCGAATGACCATTTTAGGAATTAACACAAACCAAAACAGAAAAGGAATAAGGGTCAAATAGGTCATCGAACTGCACACAATAATGCAATTAGGCTACTGAACCTAAAAAAAACAACAATTAGACCATTAAACTAACCAATTTCTTTCAATTAGTCTAATTTATAAATTTTGCAAGTTAGTAACAAGTCACGCAAAAAATTTAAAATATTATTTAAAAATAATAAATTAAAATATATTTTAAAAAAAAAAAACGTTTCTTCGTCTCTGCCGGGGACGAAGAGTTTCTTCGTCTCTGCCGGGGACGAAGAGTTTCTTCGTCTCCGGCCATGGAGACGAAGAAACGTTTTTTTTAAAAAATATATTTTAATTTATTATTTTTAAATAATAATTTTTTAAAAATATTATTTTAAATTTTTTGGGTGACCTGTTACTAACTTGCAAAACCTATAAATTAGACTAATTGAAAGAAATTGGTTAGTTTAATGGCCTAATTGTTATTTTTTTTAGGTTCAGTGGCCTAATTGCATTATTGTGTGCAGTTCAATGGCCTATTTGACCCTTATTCCAAAAGAAAAATACTCTCACTTTTGTCATGTCACTTAGCAAATGGCCAATTGGTTGATAAGGCCAGCCTTAGTCTAAAGAGATAATTGATTGATAACCTTATAAACCGGACCAAAACCTCCTTTTCCAAGCTTATTTGCATTGGAAAAGTTGTTTGTAGCTTCCAATATGCTTTGGAGAGTAAAGAACTGAACACCAATGCCATTCTCATCAGTATCTTCATCTATCACTTGAACCATTGCTTCCGCTGCATGTTCTGAAGTGAACAGAAAATTATTCCAAAACCTAATATTTCAGAGACTCAAAATATGGTTTTAATGAATCAATGTCAACACTGAAATTTTTTCTGCAATTAACTACATATGTACCTGTTGTTTTCAATGCTGTTCGCATCCTTTTAAAACAGATGTAGAAAATAGCACATGCAATTAGAGCTGCTGCAGCAACTGCTATACTAGGAATGACAACTTTGAGCTTCCCTGACAAGTGCTGTGAGTTTGTATCTGTTGGCATGAAAAGAAAACGAAACACATTGGTTGGGATCACATATCAGTTAAGTTGATCAAACAATTGCTTGGTAAGTGGTAACCACAAATTTCAAGTTTGAGCCGGTCATTTATGGATAACCTATCGAGACTAGTTTTTCTTATTATAATCCTTTTGTCGACTAGGGTCAAAAAATAGATTTCACCACGAGTGCACCTTCTGTAGTGGATGCAGGCTTTCTTGTAAATCAAAGAGATAGCAAATGACACTAATATTCCGGGTAGGGATGTCAATCTTAGTCCAATTGGTGACCCGATAAGTACGAAAAATTTTAAGGTTTTGAGTAAATTTTTTCCAATAAGTCTAACCGTCCAAATTTATTAATTAGCCTGAGTCACTTAAGGCTATTCTTTGTTTAACAAGTAATATAGAACAAAATATATAAGGAACTTATATGTAAGCTTATTTTAGTAATTTTTATTAAATTAGTAAATAAAATTTTAATAAATTTATTATAAAATAAATTTTTTTTATTAAAATAAATAATGCTTTTTTAAAAAAAAACTTGTTATAATTATTATATTATAATATTTTTTTATATTAATTATTTTGATATGGAATTTTGAATGAAGGTTTATACTGATTGAATAATGTATAAGTTTATATTTATTAAATACGTTATTTTATTAAAAAAATTTTAATTTATTATAAGGGAAAGAGAATACTCATATATACAAGTTACTACATCAAATGTTATCATAATTGTCTCCACCGAGGCTCGAACCCATTACCCTCCCACATAGGGTGCTTAGGTGGATTAATCGGCACCTAGACGTTTCTGGTATTTTTTTTAAAAAATTTTAAAAAGGCTAAAGTGTTATCCCGCACCATGAACCATTCCTGATTATTCATGCCGCACCATGAACTTTAATAAGTGATATTTAGAGCCATAAACCAAAAATTTTTTTTTCGTCTAGTTACAGGTTTCCTACAGGTTACCGGTAATAATATTACTGACATTGAATTTTTTATTAGTTTTTTTTTTTATATATTTTTCTTCTTTTGCATTCGTATTTTTTTTGTGCGTATTTTTGTTTTTCCTAAACGTATAGGCATGCTCTACGTTTTTCGCTTCTCGTTTCTCTGATACCAAACTCCGAAAAGTAGGCCTGATCAGAGAAACAAGAAGCAAAAAAAGCAGACCAGGCCTATACGTTTAGGAAAAAAAGAAAAATACGAAAAAAATAATAATACGAAGGCGAAAGAAGAAAAATACCAATAAAAGCTAATAAAAAATTCCACGTCAACATTATTATTACCGGTAACTTGTAGGAAACCTTTTAAAAGTTCTAGACGAAAAAAAAATTATGATTTATGGCTCTAAATATCACTTAATAAAGTTCATGGTGCGGCATGAATAATCAGGAATGGTTCATAGTGCGGGATGACACTTTAGCCTTTTAAAAATTAAGACTTACAATTATAAACTATTTAATACTTTAATAGTTAATACTAAAATATTACTCCGTAACTACTAACCTAAAAAACCTAGTCGATACTTAGAAGACCTAGGCTGTCCGCACATAGGTGGCCTAATCCGCCGCTTAGATCATCAATTATGGTGATGGGTTAGGAGAGAGAAAAAAAAACATAAGCTGAGAGTTGGTTCATCAAATAGGAGAGAGAAAAAAAAAAAGAAGATCACACCTAGCTAACTGATACCAGATTGAAGCATGTGCTCCATCTCAACTAAAAGTCTAAGCTGATAGTTGGATTGCATGTTGGCTATATGCTCACATGCAGCACCCCGATTAATTGGTGCCTAGATGTTATTAAATAGATACTACAATACATTAGATTCTAACTAAAAAAAAGTTGGAAGTTATAGAGTACCTTGGATATTTGGGAATTCAGAAGGGGCAAGTCTGACGTAAATTGTGCTTCCATTGCTATCGTCTTTCCCAAGCTGTTTCAGGTTAAAAAGTTGTCCTACCCAAATGGAACAATAATTGATGTAAGCATAAGCGGTACAAGAGCAATTTTTCTGACAAATGGACTCGCATTCTGCTTCACTCCCAGCCGTAGTGTTCTGAGGATGTCCTGGCAATCTCATATTTGTATACATTTTGAACCTTTCCGTTTCCTCACACCTCAATCTGCTCTTCCTTACGCAGCCTTGGAAGGATTCATTCAAACCCCGCTGTTTCTCTGAGAAGCCATACAAACAAGCGCAAAGCGGAGATGAATTTTCATTGCAGATGCTGAATGGGCCGCAATACGCGTAAACGTCGCATTGTTGCGCCGGAACAAGATTGATCGCCGCCCACTCCTTTGTAGGCTCCAACCACGTTAGCGACTTCTGTTGCCCGTTTACGTCCAGAATCCATCTCGATATCACCGATTCAATTACCGAGTAAGTGAAGTAGCTCTCGTTCTCGTTGTCGACGACGCTGAAATTGAAGACCGGACTCTGCTTCAAGCTCAACGTGCGTAAAATCCCGGATCCGAATTTGGGCCCGCTGTTCCAGTATTCCTCTGTGCCGTTCCACAATTGGAACGCCGTGTTGCCGTCGTTGTCGAGAGAGTAGAGCCCGGGTGATGGATCGTCGGGAGTTTTCCACGACGTGAGGACTTGTTTGGTTTTGGTGCGCTTGTTGTATCCGAACTTGGAACCCGGCAGAAATGTGTCTGTTGGGTGTTCGACGCTTTGCCAAAGTGGGGTTTTCGAATCCACGCCATCGTCGCTCAATACCAAGTTCCCGTCGTCGCGGAGAGTTGCTAGCACAGACCTTAGTTTCGCTGCGCTGACATTGGTAGACCACACCAAGTTTTGTGCACCGTCTAGCAGCACCAGGTCGCCGGCGAGGATTCGAAATTTGGAGGAGTGGATTGCGGCGGAGGGGATTGGGGTGACTCTATTTGCTACCCACACTACTGTTATAGGGGAGATATTCTTGTACCAAATACCAACGTAATAGTTAGAAGACTGAGCAGATTTAAAGAAACCCAACTCGAATCTTCCATTGGGAGATGATATAGTTGTATTTTGAGTTATGTATTTGTTTCCAGAAATTGTTTCTACTCCATAGGAGAATGGAATAGTATTCAGAAGAGAAATGAGAAGAAGGGATACAAGAAAAGTTATTTCCATTTTCCTGGGCCCTGGCTGGAACAATGGTTAACTCCGTATTATATATATATAGAGCAAAAGTGATTATTTGAGGAGTGAGAGACTTTCAATCATCATTGAAAACTAAGGGGCAATCAAGACTTTTTAAAAGACTTTTAACGACGGTCGTTTCACCTTTCATAAAATATACTCAGACCAGCAAGTCAAGGAGCTAAATGGGAGGCAGGAAGGGCAATCGTTATGCAATGGACCCGTGTCCAGCATGCATGTTGGACACGGTAAGGGTGTTGTTAGTGGCATCCTTATCTTCCACTTAAAAAAAAAAAAAATTTAGACCATTTTGTTATAGTAGTATATGCTCATAATTTTATCACTATATATTCATAATTGTAAGTTTATAATGTCAGAGCTCTGTGTTCATAATTGCATAACTGTACATTCATAATTGCATAACTATACATTCATAATTTCATAACTGTACATTCATAATTCAATAACTGTAAATTCATAATTTTCGAAACTCTATTTTCACAATTTTAGAGCTCTATGTTCATAATTTTATCACTATATGTTCATAATTGTAAGTTCATAATGTCAAAGCTCTGTGTTCATAATTCCATAACTTACATTGATAATTCCATAACTGTACATTCATAATTCAATAACTGTAAATTGATAATTTTCGAAACTCTATGTTCACAATTTTAGATCTCTATGTTCATAATTTTATCACTATATGTTCATAATTGTAAGTTCATAATGTCAAAGCTCTGTGTTCATAATTCCATAACTTACATTGATAATTCCATAACTGTACATTCATAATTCAATAACTGTAAATTGAGAATTTTCGAAACTCTATGTTCACAATTTTAAAGCTCTATGTTCATAATTTTATCACTATATGGGAGTGTTTGGTTGGATGGAAAATATTTTCCATGGAAAATGTTTTCTTCAAAGTGAAGGAAAATGTTGGTTTATGTTGTTTGGTTGGATGGAAAACATTTTCCATTGGAAAATGGATTCCTCAGAGTGGAGGAAAATGAATTCTTTGCAAAGGGGTGGGATTTTGTTTTCCACAAGGATTGGGAAGAAAAATAACATGAGTGGACCATTTTACCCTTATGAAAATTTCTTAATTACATAAGCACCTATTTATTCATTCATCTTTTTAAGGGCATATTGGTCTTTATATTCATTATTCCTTATCTTTCTAAACCCAACCAAACAATGGAATCCATATTCCCAGTAATTTCATTTCCACCAACCAAACAATTGAATCAATTTTCCTGGAATTCATTTTCCATGGAATTTCAATTCCATTTCCCTTCAAATATTTTCCAGCGAACCAAACGAGCTGTATGTTCATAATTGTAAGTTCATAATGTCATAACTCTGTGTTCATAATTCCATAACTTACATTCATAATTTCATAATTGTACATTCATAATTTCATAACTGTACAATCATAATTCCATAACTGTACATTCATAATTCCACAAACGAATAACGCCGTTAACCCCGAGAAAAAATCAATTTTTTTTAAACTGAAAGGCCGCGTTTTTCCTTAAAACGACGTCGTTGTGGACACAAGTCCACAGCATAATTTGCGCAGGAAGGGCTGCCCGGCCTGCCCCCACCCCATATATAACTTTTGTATGCACACACACACACACACACACACACACACACACACACACACACACACACACACACACACACACACACATATATATATATATATATATATATAACATTCTTTTTTATATTAATAATGATATGTGTAATTTATAATGTGTTTCTTTATTTAAATTATTTTATCAAATTAATTATGTTTCATATTTTGTTATGAATATTTTTATAAAGTTTCAATGTGTTTTTTTTTTTGCACTATATTTCTTAGGTAATTTTTTTTTTAAATTGTCTCTTTTGTTTTAATATTTTGTCTTGGAAAAAATTTCTGAATCTGTCTCTAGTTATTACCGAAATGGTCCCTCGACTATAGCAAAATTATCAATTTGATCCTCAACAATTTTTCTTATCCAATTAAATCATCGACTTTGAAAATGTTAACCATTTTGGTCCTCCACGGTGATTATATAAAATTGGCCAATAGTTAATAAACGAATCACCAAATATGTAATGTGGAATACTTGACTTCCATATAGATTATCTTGAAATACTAATCAAACGCTCAAACAAATATATTTGACTGGGCAATTTTTTCTTAACCAAAAAATAAGGGAAAGAAAGCAAGGAAGAAGAAATACCGAGTTAAAGCAATGGCTTAGGTAAGTTGACTTGGACACGTTTGGTAACGTAGAAGATCAGAACAGCTCTTTAGGTCTAGAAACTGTCTTAGAAAATTATAAACTGGTCCTACTCTCAGAACTAATACTTGACCTTTAATTTATTAAGAGTAAATACCCAAAATGGTCCCTCGACTATAGCTAAATTCACAAATTAGTCCTCAACTTTCAATTTCACCCAATTAAGTCCTTAACTTTGCAATTTTGACACGATTTGGTCCTCCATCTAATTGACCGTGATCGACGATCTCCAGAAGAACCTTCAGCTCTCGTCGGAGCACGTGGAGGCCTCCAGGATGACGTTGCACCGGTTCGGAAACACGTCGTCTTCTTCGCTTTGGTACGAATTCAACTACATTGAATCCAAAGGGAGGATGAAGAAGGTGACCGGGTTTGGTAGATTGCTTTCGACAGTGGATTCAAATGTAACAGTGCGGTCTGGAAATACAACCGGAACCTTAAAAAACCGACGATGGACCATGAAATTACATATATATCCTCAAAAATCACAGTCAACAAACGGTCAAATAAACAGAGGACCATATTGTGTTAAAATTATAAAATTAAGGACTTAATTGGGTGAAATTGAAAGTTGAGGACCAATTTGTGAATTTAGCTATAGTCGAGGGACCATTTTGGGTATTTACTCATTTATTAAGTACAATCATACAAGTAATAATTATATTAATTTTACCATATCCCTATTTATATGATGGAAATAAGGGTGACAGTGTAAAAAATTGTTGAAAAGTTAGCATTAAAATGATATTTTAAGTGGCTATTTTGTGGTATAATTATCAGTGGGTCCACTTTCGATTTGGGTTGGGTCAAAGTGGATTCGGTTTCTTCGTAGTGAGACGAAGAGATTGATATATTGTACGCTCAAAACGGGTAATGGGTGAATGAGAAATTGATTCTCAAAGTAGACCCATTGAGTTGGAAAAATGAAGGGAAAAAAAGGTGAGCTTTTGTCCCACATTGATTTGGGAAGAGGATTTGCCCCACTATTTATAGAAGAGTCTTTTAAAGTCTCATTGAATTGTATAGCATAGAGGTTCTCTTTCGCACGTAGAATTGAGATTAAAAAAAAAAAAAAAAAGCTTGATCCAAGCTTGAGCATGTGTGTGTCGGCACCTACGAGCATGAATGTTGTTTGTTATGCCAAACTTCGGTATCATTTTTCCAAAAACACACAGCCGCTAATTCGGCCTTGCCGAACTAAAGCCGAGCCTCTCGGCCAAGTGATTTGGCCTTGCCGAACTAAACCTCTCGGCTTTGGAGGCCGAAAGTTCCACCTCTCGGCCAAGTTGGCACTCCGTGCCAAGGCAGGCCAGTCGCTGATTCGGCCTTGCCGAACTAAACCTCTCGGCTTTGGAGGTCGAAAGTTCCACCTCTCGGCCAAGTTGGCACTCCGTGCCAAGGCAGGCCAGTCGCTGATTTGGCCTTGCCGAACTAAACCTCTCGGCTTTGGAGGTCGAAAGTTGGCATTCCGTGCCAAGGCAGGCCGAGCGTTCCGCCTTGGGAGGCCGAAAGTGAAGCTCTTGGCCAAGGAGCGCTTTGGAGGCCGAAAGTTCCACCTCTCGGCCTTGGAGGCCGAAAGTTGGAACTCCGTGAGAAGGCAAGCCGAGCGTTCGGCCTTGGGAGGCCGAAAGTGATGCTCTCGGCCAAGAAGCGCTTTGGAGGCCGAAAGTTGGCACTCCGTGCCAAGGCAGGCCGAGCGTTCGACCTTGGGAGGCCAAAAGTGATGCTCTCGGCCAAGGAGCAGGTAGAGAGGAGCACGAAAGTGGCTGCCTTGGACGAAAGTAACCGAGCTGAAACATCGTGAACCATTCGTTGGTTCTGGACTGTTGGAGATAAATTTCAGACTTTTCTTTAAGAAATCAATCCAGAGTTTTCTGCTAAAATCATCAATGAAAGTAAGTAAGTATTTGTTACCTCCATTTGAAAGTGGATTTATCGGCCAAAAAATATCAGAGTGCACCAATTCTAACACCTTCTTCGCTCTCCAGGATGTCACTTTAGGAAATTGCTTACGGTGTTGTTTGCTAATAACACACTCTTCACAGACTTGAGAGGGAACTGAAGTTTGAGGAAGACCAGATACCATATTTTTCTGTTGTAGAGTTCTCAACCCACCAAAGTTTAGGTGACCATAACCGCTAGCCAAGGCCGGTCCAAACATTTTATAGGCCCGGGACAAAATTTAAAAAAAATGGCCCTTATATGAAAAATTAAAATTAAAATTTAATAATGGTAAAAAAATGATAATTTAGAGAAAAGATCATCAAAATCAACATCAAACATATCATTATGAGAAAAAGTAATTGTAAAATTATTGCAACATTCTTTTAGTTTATTATTATCCAATGACTTCAATAATTTTAAATTGTATAAAAATCAAAAAATATTTTCAAATATCTTTAGTTGCTCAAATCTATTATTTTTTCTAATATATACTAAGTAATATATATATATACCGTAGGGTCTATGGGGCCCCCTCTAGAATGGGCCCTAGGCACCCAGCCTGCCCATGCCTCAGGGCCGGCCCTAGCCAGGCTACATCGTCTAGCTTTGATGTGAAGCATGAGTGAGATGAATGGCGAAGATAAAGTCGGAACAAACGATTTTTCGTCATTTTGACTCAAGCAATCAAGCCAAAATTTTTATCTCGAATTCGACATTCTCCGTTTTTTATCAGGATCTCATACCACTTCTCTTGAAGTTGAC